TGTTTTAGCCAGGGTTTTGAGCGGGGTGTTAGGCAGGGTGTTTCAGGCAGGGTTTTGAGCGGGGTTTTGGGCAGGCCCGGCTCAGGCCCCGCTCAGGCCCGGTCTCMGCTCCCGCCGCGGCGACGCCTTAGCACCGTTCTGGTCACGTGACCCCCCTCTCCACCAATCAGCAGGCGCCGATGCCTCGGCGGGCACGCGCTGGGCCTCAGCCAACCACACGACGGCGCGCGCCGCTCGAGCCCTCCGATTGGCCAGCGCCCCCCGCCGGATGTTGCGTCACGGCGCCGCGCGGAGGAGGCGGGGAAAGATGGCGGCGCCGGGGGAGGAGGCGGCGTTCGCGCGGCGGATCGACCCGGCCCGGGAACCGGGGCTCAGCCCCGAGCAGCGCCGCCTCATGGCGCAGGTGGAGTACGCTCAGCGCCAGCGCGCCCTGCAGCGCCGGCTCCGCAGCCGCAACGTGCTGCTGGCGCTCGGGATCGGCGCGGTGACATTTGGTATTTGTATCCTCCGGGACAGGGGCAGGGTCAGGGTGGGGCCTGGGGGCTCCGGGGCTGCGCCCGCAGCTTTTCCTTAATTCCCACCCCCCAGACGGTTACACCTTCTACTCGGTGTCGCAGGAGCGGTTCCTGGAYGATCTGGAGCAGGAGGCGGAGGCGGCGCGGGCGCGGGCCCGGGCGCGGGCAGAGGGCGCCGCAAGCTGAGCGGGGAGCGCCCGGTCCGGCCCGGCCCGGCCCGTGATTGAGCTGCCGCCCTCGCGAGGCAGGACGGGCCTCGAGTCCTGAGGGCTTCGGGCCTGCCCCGTGCTCTGGTCGGCCAGGAGAAGGCCCCGGGGCTCCCCGCAGGCAGGGCTCCCCCGCGGGCAGACCCTGCCCTGGGGCCTTTACCGGGGCCGTGCCCATGGGAGGGACAAGGGCACGCAGGTCCCACCACTCCCCACAATAAATCCTCTCACTGGAGACCGCGTCAGCGACGTTTGTCAAGCATCTTTTGGGCTGAGCCCCGCTGAGGATCTTGCCTCGCTCTGAGGGGCTGCTGAGGAGGGATTCTCTGTTTTGCTTTTTATCATCACGCGGTGAGGCAAGCAGCCACGCATCCTGCCCAACAGACACACACACASAGCCAGTTTGTATTCAATCCATGTTTACGAAAATGCTTTTTCCAAACATCAGTTCATAACAAAGTGCTCCCGGATCCCGCTGCTCCTGGTGCTCCAGCAGACAGGGCCACACGGAGCTCAAGCCACTCTGCAGGGTCTGGTGCAGGGCTGGGGTGGTGTCAGGGCTGGGACAAGCCGGGGGTTCCTCAGGGTGGGCTCAGCTCATGACAGCCACGAGAGGTGGAGATTTCCTGGTGCATGTCCTCCGGCAGAGGGGCAGGGGACAGTGGGATGGTACCTGTGGGACAGATCTGCACCAGGCCAGCACTCCCACCCCTGCAAAGCCCACRGCTTCCCTGCTGCAGGGCGGGGAAGGGGAGCAGGGAGTCCGGGCTCTCCAGGGCTGGCTCTGCCCACCCCGGGGCAGCAGGCACTTGGATGAGGTAGTTCATGGAATCATTCTTGGCCAGCCAGCTACTAGGGAGAGAAGAGAAGCAGCCGTGAGCCAAGAGCGCCGCGGGATCAGCGGGGAACGCCGCGGGGTCAACCCCTGCTCCTTACCACGCGCCCGAGGTCGTCGGCGAAGGTCACGCCCTTGTTCAGCCGCTGCTCCTGTGAGCCGGTGCTGCTGCCACTCAGCGAGTTCCGCCGCATGATCCCTGCGGGGACAGCGGCTCTGAGTGGGGGCTGCGGGTCTGTGCAGCTCCCAGCCTGGGGATCATCATCCCACAGCCCCACCCATTCCGGGGATCCCTCACCCAGCCCGGGGATCCTCATCTCGCACTCCCCACCAAGATCGGGGATCCCCCACCCAGCCCAGGGATCCCATCCGTAGCCCCACCCAGATCAGGGGTCCCTGTCCTGCAGCCCCCACCCAGCCTGGGGATCCCCCACCCATTCCAGGGATCCCCCACCCAGCCCGGGGATCCCCATCCCGCAGCCCCCACCCATTCCCGGGGATCCTCGTCCCGCAGCCCCACCCATCCCAGGGATCCTCCACCCAGCCCGGGGGTCCTCCACCCAGCCCGGGGATCCTCGTCCCACAGCCCCACTCATCCCAGGGATCCCCCACCCATTCCAGGGATCCCCCACCCAGCCCGGGGATCCCCATCCCACAGCCCCCACCCATCCCGGGTGCCCTGGAGGGCCAGGCCCGGCACCTGCGGGCTGYCCCAGCTCCAGGCGCTGCAGGCTGTTGCGACGGGAGGGGTTGAAGCTGCCCTTGGAGAGGCGGCGCTGGCGGCTGGACAGCATGGCGGCCGGAGAGACGATGCCCAGCGGCGGCTGCTTCCCCATGCGCAGGTACAGCTCCTCRATCTCCTTCTTCTGGGCGCTCTGCAGCAGCTGCACCTCAGCCAAGTGCCTGGGGAGGGAGGAGATGGGGGCTGGCAGCAGGGAAGGGACACAAACTGCCACCCCGAGTGGGTGGGAAGATCTGTTTCCTCCYGGGTGCAGCCCACCCCCTGCTCACTTCTGCCGCAGGTTCTGCAGCTCCTCCCAGATCTCCTCGTCCTCGCTCTCGGTGTCGTCGCTGCTCACGTAGGACAAGCTGCGGGAGTAGCTCAGCCACACCTGGCTCAGCATGGCCTGGGGCACGTTTTCTGTGCTCTCTTCTCCAGGGCCCTCCCGGTCACTCCCTGCTGGTGCCACAGGCACCGTGCCCGCCTCTGCTGAGCCCTCCTCAGCCTTGGGGCCCTGCTCTGCTGTCTCCAGCTCATCCGAGTCACTGCTCGAGCTGTGGCCCGTGTCAGGGATCACGGGTGGAGGGGAGCTGCTCACTGCTGCCTCCAGGCCGTGCTGCTCCCCATCACTGCTGCCCAGCACCGGAGAGCTCACCGCCGGGTCACGGGTTGGCATCACCTGGAAACGGCCCAGGACCTGGGGCTTGGCTTCTGCTGGGACAGGAGCAGCTGGTGGGGTTCAGGGCACATGGGCTGGTGGGGCATTGAGGTGCCCTGGCACAGCCTTGGCCCTGCCCACGTTACCTTCACTGATGGGTGAGAGCTGGGCCTTGGGCACGCTGGGGGCTGGTGACTCCARGACAATCAGGGAGTGGCTGGGCTTGGGGGCACTGGGCAGCACCTGCGGGCACCAAAGCACCATCAGTGGACCCAGCCCAGATCCATCCACATCTCCTGTCCTCGTGCTGCTTCTCTACTCTGGGATATGCTGCCCACTCAGCCCTCCCCACATCCCAGTGGYTCCACAAGCCATGAGGCTCCCTGTYCCATCCCAGGGCAGCACCTGCAGCAGCCACCCAGTGCTCCTGGCACTGAGCTCCACCT